GAGTAAGACTCGCTACCCATGGGCTCGTCGTAGTCGACTTGGCCCTCTTAAAGTTCCGAGAACAGAACAACGTTACCTCTGGGCGGCGGCCGCGACCCTGACAAGCGTTGAGCTTTGCTCTCTTCATGTTGACGGCTCATGGAGCGTTGTTCGATTCGACGGCGATACGCTTGGTGGTATTCCGACACAGAAAGAGAAGAAGATGCCCTTAGAGCAGTTGCGGAACGCAGTTGTGCGTCAGGGGCGTCGGGGCTGAGGTGGCGCGACATGTTGGAGACGTTGGGCCGTGGGCCGGAGTCGAGGTGCCAGGCATCAAGGATGCTAAAGCGTTTGTGAGCTCGCGGAGCTGCAGAACGCAGAAGTGAGGTCTGGTGACCTCCGCCGTCTTAACAAGACGTGACCTCGTTGAGGAAAGTTTCGGGAACAGATGTTCTCATCTTAGTGGGGGAAAGTGTAACGGGGTTACTGTACATGGTGTGGAGCACACAGAGGTACGGAGTACCCGGAGAGCTAACAAATCTTCAGTACATAAGCTGTAGAGCTAACAAGGTCTCTCAGTACGTTGGCTGGAAGCCACACGTTATGCATTTGATTGGGTTTAGCGATGCTAGATAGTTAAACATATACATTTACCCCTAGGCGGCTTTGCCGGAATAATAGTAAATAAACCACTTCTGGTTTTGAAGCATAAAATTAAAGTTAAGGTATTAACTTTGAGTCCTGGTCGTGGGTTGTAATTTCTTTAGGATAAGGAGCTAAGTATTAGGGACTCTTTGAGTCGAACGTCTTTCTCTGACGCTTAAGCTACGGCAGCTCCACTGCAGAGGACCTCGGCATCGACCGTTCTTTGGGCCCTTAAAGCCCGCAAGAGAGCGTGATCGTGGAGCGCACGAACCAGACCGTCATGCGACAGGTCCGCCCAATGCTACAAGCTACGCAGATGCCAGTTTCAATGTGGAGAGTGGCCTTTCTACAGGCTATTGAAACGATGAACAAGACAAGGACAAACTGTCCCCGTATGAAGCGCTATACGGAGAGCGACCCGATCTTAGCATGCGACGCACGTGTGGATGTTTGGTGCCCGTTCACATTTCCGAAGACTCCCTCAAAGGAAGTAGAAGCTCACGCCAAGGACGCAAATGTGCTTGCTACTTGGCTACAGCGAGAAGAACAAGGGCTACAAGCCGCCGAAAGTGCGCACAGGGTCAGTGACGACGTGTCGAGATTGTAACATGAGAAGTATAATGTGCACAGCGTGTACATTGAACAACTTCTATTGAATGCTTACAACTACGGAGACTACGACTTACCGGCGGAGATCCCGATCGTGCCGATCCGTACAGCGATATCTACGTACCTACAGCTGCCTAAAGAACTTGCTGCAAAGTGAGCAGCGGAGATGAAGAAGCTTTCTACAGATGGTGAAAGCCAAGACCAAGTCGAAGAACTTGAAGCTGAGTCAGCGACTCAAAGGGTTGACCCAGTGCGGACAGAAAAAAACGTAGAGAAGACTACTGAGCCAGCAGCTTCAGTGTGTGGGGATTCCACGCGAAGAAAGACCACAAATAAAAAAAAAACAGCAATGTATAGATCGGGTAGGAGCCTCGAAGACCAGCGCCGGTCTACGTGATGGTCACGACAATGACATTTGGATGCCACATAAGGCGCACAAGTCGTTGCCGAACGACAACAGCATCGCCGCATCGCGACCGAAGAGGAAGCGACAGCAATCCGCCTGCCTCAATAATACGTAGTGACGAGCGTGATGGCGCAGCGCGGTGAGGATGCTCATATAATTGTCAGTCACAAGCACACGACAAGGTCTAATATATTGAAAGAGTGAAAAGGAACCATGCAAGTCGAGATGGACTCGCAGCAGCAACACGGAACTTGGGTGCTTGCTCCGCGTACAGAAGCCAAGGGCAAGCGTGTCGTCTCGTGCAAGTGGGTTTATGCATTGAAGAGGGACTCAACCGGCAGGATCAAGCAATACAAAGACAGGTTGGTCATCAGAAGGTTTTTACAGGGCATAGGCATCGACTACAGTAAAACCTACGCCCCTGTCAACGCGGATGGGCTATTTTACAATTTGACATCAAGGCCGCGTTCTTGTACGGTGATCTCGACGAAGAGGTTTATATAGAGCAGCCTCCAGGTTTTGGGTAAGACTCTACGCGCTACGTATGCTATATAAAGAAGTGTTTGCACAGGCCAAATCAAGCGCCTCGCGTTTGGAGCAAGACTTTTCACAAGTTTCTGACGAAGTTCGGACTCGGGCGCCTCGACGCTGACTACGGACTCTACGCCAGAAAAGTGGGAGGAGAAGTCACAATGTTGCTCACGGTGTACGTTGGCGACATCCTACTACTTGGTCCAAGTGACCTGTGCGCTAAGGTTGTCAAGCAACTTAGTGAGAAGTACGAGCTCACTGCTGTCGGACTAGTTAAATATCTACTTGGCGTGGAGATCTTGATCGATCGCCAGCGGCGACATGCGATATACTACCAGCGGCAGTACATTCAGGAGGTGCTGAAGCAATGGAAGTATGCAATGCGATTGCTACGCCGGAAGCACTGCGCGCTGAGGTGGTGAAGCCCGTCCAAGACGACACACTGCCCCCGTACTCGTTGGTGCATTACGGTATCTAGTATCAGCCTCAAGCCCAGACATTGCGCACGCGGTGTGTCATCTCAGCAAGTACCGGCCCTGTTTCGACCACACACACACTATGATATGCTAAGCGAAGGCTACACACTACAGCTTAGTGATCAGCATTTTTGCCCGGAACAACGTCAAGCTGAAAAGGTACACCGATGCTGACTACGCGAATGACCCTGACGACCGAAAGCGTTTGAGCGGGTTTTGACGTTCGTCAATGGCAATGTGGCTTCGTACGGATCAAGAAAGTAAGCGATAAATGCACAGAGCACAGCGGAAATAGAGTATATTGCAATGAATGAAGTGACCCGAGACCTACAGTAGCTAATGTGACTCTATGAGGAGCTACGCTGGGCGTTTGCGACGCTGGAGCCTATCCTGGGAACACAGCAAGAGAATGCATAATTTAACTAAGTTTCACTTGGTGTGCCACCTGGTGGAGGACGCGCGGCTATGAATTCACCATGTTGGCACCGACAATATGATCGCCGACGCGATAACTAAGTTATTGTCGAAGGAGAAGGTCGACCGATGTCGAGATGGAATGAAGGTGCTGTGCATCGACTGTCAGCACGACTCAGTTCGTCCACTGGGAGCCGAGCATCATCGCCCCGCGTGAGGTGACAGCTACATACTACTTATTGTTCATGCAGACCGAATGAAAAGAAGGATCGACACCCTGGCCGACGTACTATCGCTGCTGCGCAGTGTTATGGTGCTAATGGCATCGCTGTAATCGCTAAGGTGATTGTGTTGAAGATGATCTTCAACATGAACAAGTGGAAGTGATGAGTGTTGAGGAAGCGTCTGAGCCGCGCTCCAGCTCCACCTCCTGCGCAGGTGTCTCCAGGACACGCACATCACGTCTGAGCCGCACTTTTAAGAATCACAGGTTGGTAAGTTGCACGCCCCATCCTATTTCTAATCCTACAAATACACTAGGGGTTTGGCCGTCGGTATTGCTGCTCACTCGTCAACTTCCGCAGCAAGCAGCAGCACCGAGGCATTTCTCCCTGTTGGACTTTCGTCCCTGCACTTTACAGTGCTACACAAGCATTTTCTACGTCGTAACTACACGCAGCAGGCGCGGAGAACATCACTCAAGGCCTCCGCCAATCCCCCCCCCTCCCGCGGTAGTGACGTCTACGTAACTAAAGACGGCTATTCCTTGATCATCTAGCTATCTCAATGAGGGTATCGTGGCATGAGCGTGAGTTTCACCAGCTGACTCAGGATTCCTGGGTAGAAAAATGCCAAATTTAAATTCTAAAGAAATGATATTTTCTATCGCATTCAATATTTTACTGCTTGCTGCCGTTCTGACGAATGATTGCTATCTACTTGCATTAAATGCCGCACCCCATTGTTTGTGCTGGTTACGTTCATAGGTATGAGTCAATAAACTGACTTTAAAATGTTATTGTCAGCTTCGAGAGTGCGCTGGGAGGTGAAAGTTGATGTTATCAAAGCCCCCAATCGAGGACGATAAGAGACAGCTTCGAGAGCAATGCAAGGCCCACGACACGCACCAGACGTCCAGGGGGACGAGCTACACCTGCACAAATCCAGTGCGGAAATGGCTGATACCCAATGTCACCCTTCTAGTGGCTTTAGCTCGTGCACAGCAAAATACATATTCCCGTCCATTCCTTACCTATGGGTACATATATGGAGATCGAGACTACGGGGATCGAAGGTGTGAAAACCAATGCCAGCGCAACCAAAAAATACGTCTCACAAAAAGGTTTTTTAAAAAGAGAACCAATGCGAGATAGAAAACCCGAAGGAATAGGAAGTATTCATTTCAAGAATATGGCTGTCGCTACAAACGGCGAGATTTAAATTATATGCACTAAAACCAAAAGGCTTTTCTGTAAATTTTGAATAAAACATATTAAAAATAGTTTCTCTACAACAATGTTTATATTCGAAATTAACCTATTCCATCCCTACCACCTTACCCCGCATATTATGCGTATGTGATCTAAACGGATACAACACTTCTCGTGTGTTCTTTTCGCTTAAAACGCCTATGTGCTATACTGCGAGCAAAGTGTTTACATCAGAACAGCGTCATATTGATGGGTCCTGGAATCTGGCTTGGTCGGTAAGGCTTGACCCTCCAAATCTACCAGCCTGGGCTCGAAACCGCCTGCGTGCAGCTCACGTGTTGTGTATTTGTAACGCTATCACTGATGGCTGCGCGTAAACGGAGCTTTTGCTTTATTACTGATAATAAATTTGCAAGAAACAATATCTTCTTTCTTTAAGTGTAGTACCGGAAAGATCATCCATGATGAATTAAACAGCGTATCCGTCTACCCTCACTGCAAAGTATAAACCTATCCGAGCTAATATCACGGTTTAGTGCTAGGTTTTCTACATTGTAGCAAACCTTGGACAGCAACTTGCCGTTCTTGTCGACCGTATTCACATCGATTTCCCAGTTATACATCTGAGCAGCTGCAAACATCTTTAACTCGCCCGGTTACTCCGTCCCGTGCCGGATATCGCTTACGTACTTACCATTATAAAGACCGTCGAGGTCAGCCAATGTCTCCATGTTGCTTGTCAGTGCGAAAATATACTCTTGTAAGGGCGTTCCGATACCATGTAGCAGGCAACAAAACAAGCTGGATGTACGCGTCTCAGGTTAATACTACGACGGCGCTGCAATATCCATCTGCTCCCTGTCGTCTGTATCAGCGATATCACAGTATTGCTGGCTTCAGCGATATCTATCAACATCTCCAGTCAGCAAGTCACGCAGCGGTGGGTGGAGAGCTTCCACATCATACTCATCCTTTGGAAACAGTCCACACAGCGCAAACGCGCGCTTAATACTCAAATTGCGATCCATAGCGGTGATCAAAATGAAGGATTGCCAGGTGCCTGTCTGGATCTCGACATTAACTCACCAGTAACTCGACAGTCTGAGCTACTGGATACTATAGTAGCAGTTGAATCAGATTTGACAAAAAAACTGGTTACTATATAATTATTAATAGTACATAGTACTATCTCTTACAGGCAAATAAATATACTGCCAATCGCCAATCTCCGGTCAAAAAATGTGCCCGGCACAATTTCCCAACCTTTCGCTCATTTTAATTAATTTGATTGGCTGCTCCCCGTCAAGATCGGAGGGTTGTTCAACTGTACATGCTGCTTCGGATTTCGATGTGACGCGGCGCTGAAGCCTAGGAGCCTGGCGCCGCCGGCCTGGGCTTCTCCACCGAGTCGCAGTAAAATGTGCTGCCGATCCAAGACACGAGTCAAGTACCGATGAGTCGCTTCTGTCGCGCGTGGCTACATGCTGTCGCTTTGGCTGCAGCGCCCGTAGCAGTGAACTCCAGCGCCTTGGCTCCTTATTGGCGTCTAAGCGCCTGCTTGCCGAAGCGGCTTAAGATGATGACAAGACGGTTCAATTCAATTCGTGAAACAATGTTCCCGACACGCTGAACCACTTGCTGACCTTCGAGCTCGGGCTTGGGTGAACATCCGCTCGGACTGATCTTGCCCAGGCGCTTCCATCTACCGCTGATCACCGAGTAACCGGCATCATGTCGGGTCCGCTCCTGTCCAACTTGCTGAACGAGGACGTCGTGACATGCTTGGCTCATACGTCAATCCTTTCGCGTTGAGCTTCATCTCGCTCCAGGCCGACCAGCAGATCTACCTGCCAGAGCTACGATCTCAGATCAAGTCGATCCTGGCTCTACTGTCCACCTACTACTACACGGGGTGCTGATCACGACGTATTCATGCTAAGGCCGGCGCGTTCTTCTACTCCGACTTGGAGCACAGCTGTCAACTGGGCATCGCGCTCACGCTCGCCTCGATTTCGGTGGTCATATCGCCGTCCACCTCCATGGCGCTTTAGATCGAACTCAATAGTGTCGGACCTCTCATGAACTTGGCACGTGGCACCTGCATAACAACAGAGTCAGTGTGCTTGTGTTTTTCTTCGTCTTGCGGGTCGTCGCGTCCGTTAACTGCGCCAAACTGGACGTGTCTCCGGAGAGTATCATTTTCATACTGAGCGTTATGCTAATGAACGTCCGTGCTGGGGGCGTTTCTCGGTCTCGTAACATTAACAATCCTCATCTTCCATATACCGACCGGGAAACCAGGCGAGGATCCTGGGTTAACAACGTTTCCTGCTCACGGGATCTCGGTCTCTTCCAGTACAGCGTCCAGATAGTACACTTCACGGTACCACAAGAAGATACAGCAACGCATTAATAATGCCATTATCGGCAAATAAGACTTGGGGCAGACAAGTGACGACCCTAATCAAACGCCTCACCAGCTCAACGCCTACGTTGAAGAGACTGTTGCCGACAAGCCACCGTGTTAATCGGAGAGCAAAGCGCTCTACCTGAAGTGTTTTCTCCGGCTGCTGATGGTCTACCTGTTGTACCTCTTGTGAGATGCTATCCTGCTACTGTGAGATGCTACTTGCTACAGTCTGCCAGTGTCCAATGCCAGACGTCATTGCCACAGCCCAAGACACTGGCAATACCAGTACTACCGATCCGACCTACAATCCTACGCGTGTCTATGTAATTGTACTGCATCCCGGCGTACCGGTCTGCAACGCGCTCACGTGCGAGCTGCGTGCGGAAGATACCAAGGACTGTATGAAGGACAGTGGTGGTGAGCAACTGCAACTGCGTTGCAGGTGATGGTGAACTACTTAGCTTTCTATAGACTATCTTAGATTGAGTATGTGCTAATCTAACTTTGCGGAACATGGAGGTTCAGGTGCTGGCAGCTCTCACTCTCACAACTGCTTTTGCTGTGCTGCGTGCACAACGAGTGAGAGGCAGCAAGCACCAGAACTCCGTGGTCCTGTCGTGGTACTTTGCCCGGCACTCACGTGTATTACATTCTAATTCCTATTGCTCTACGCCTACTGCCCTACAAGTCTGTGCCAATGGCACCTACTCTACGTAGTGATAGAAGGTCGGAGAGCCCGGTGACGCGCCATGCGTCATCTGAGGTTATGAGCCCAATCAGGGCGCAGCGATCGACTGACGTGGACTCTGGTGTGGAAAACACACAAGAAGAAGTTTTGACGAATCAAGGAGAAGATTCCCCGGGATTGGTCGAAAGACTGAATGGCCCGGATGATGCAACATTATCGCAATCTGATGCTGAGCGACTAATTCGCTCATTAGTCGGAATTACTGGTGGGCGACCGTTGCTACGAGTGTTGCGCGAAGTTTATGCAGAATTCGAACACAATCGAAGAAACGGAGCCAGTTGAAAATCCGCCCCCACCGCCACCGTCGAGCCAAGGATCGGTTGGCAGTGGGCGAAGATACACGAGCCGAGGAGAGAGCAGCCTGGACAACATGAACCCCGGTGGTCGGTACGATGACAAGGAGCTGTCCGACCATACCAAGGCGTTGCGTAACTTTGCAAGCATCGTGTTGCCTAAGCTTCATAAGAAGAAGACTACGAGGCGTGGCGAAGCGAGGTGCTGTTACACTTCGAGACGCGCTCGCTCGGCGACATTACGTATGGAGGAGAGCAATATGACGAAGAGGAAGGTCTACGTCGCCCTAAGTATCATGAGTAGTTTGCGACGTGAAAGAACAAGGCGTTCTCCGCGTTGGCCCTATCTCTATCTGTGGACTTACGAGCTACGTTCAAGATCGACGAGATAAGAGACAACATGGATGCGGCAGCAATGCTGTATTCAACGATTACCAAACACTTTGAGGCTGGAGACGGCATCAACCCTGACTACTTGCTACAGGACTTGGTGACTCGCCGATCACAACCAAACCAGTCCGTTACAGCGTATGTGGAGGACATCGGACGAAAGATGACACTCCTGCGTCAAGGAAATGGTGAATTTGAAGAATGGCGACATGCAAGCCTATTTCTATCAAACTGCGTGTTGGTATTTTGTGATCTCGCGCGTGAACACGCAGACTGGATCAACCAACATGGCCGACGTGGCCTAAAGCTGTCCGAGGCGTTGCAGCGCCTGCGCTCCGCTGAACATCAGCGTGATCGGCTTCAACAGCAGACGAACAGGCCTACAACGCGGACGATGCAAGTCGCGCAGGCTGGTACTGGCCAAGGACGAGGACAAGGTCAAGGCCGCTGACATGCACACAACAGTGGAAGTGGACGTGATTCTGAAAAGAAGCGCAGGAAGAACCAGCGCAAGAAGGCAAAGGTTGCAGCTGAGAAGAAGAAGCACGCAGCCTGCGCTAATTGCAATGGAGATGGTCATTCGTATGCAGAATGCACTGCGTAGACTGGCATGCAACTCAGACCAGATCGGGCGAAGAGACCGAAGAACAAGCTGAAGTACAAGACGTATCCGGCTTCCCTCATCAACTCGGTTAGACGAGCTGAAGCTGCCCAGTCTGACAGTGAGCAACGAGCCCTGTTTTCGGGTCTCTCGCTGTGGGTGACGACACGACTGGCGAATATTGATGGTACCAATGAGGGTGCGGCGTCGGCTACACACTTGACACCTGCGAGCAGTGAGGCTGGAGATGAGAATCTGGCTAGAGAGGTGAATACGTCGGCAGTCGGATTCGAGTCCGCGTGTACACATGCCGTACACCCGAACGTGCCAACAACACCGGCAACTGAGAGTTCCTGTTAGCCATATGCAAGGTGGAGAAGAAGAACAAAAGGATGGACAGTACATACAGGATACCAAGAGGTGCAACTTGCTGTACCAGCGGCGATGCAAAGCCAGTGGGAGAGTGGCCAGTCGCTTCGTCCACCTCCTGCCTTGGGAGCTGCACTGTATTATCTAGGTCAAGGGCTGATGCAGAGCTCGCAAGGGCCGGGATCTGAGCTATGGTACAACAAAGGTGGACTACAAGTGGGCCCGCCTGTGCCGGGGGATGATCATTGTGGACCTAACGTTGAGCGACGTGGACGTCAAGGACCTGAGCAAGATTACGGGCGAGGATACCAGTCCAACATGAGTCCTTATGAGCTAGGACGCAGTGGATTTGGACAAGGACGAGCTGATTCACTACCACTACGAGAATGGAGCCGCTCCCCTCCGCGGGCCTTATACGAGGAAGGTCACCGCAAAGTAGATGGAGTCGCTCACCGCCCCAGAACCTGCAACAAGGAAGTCCACCGCAGCCTGGGAGACGTCGTTCACCCTTGCGTGGGCGCTCACGACTGCGTGGTCGCAACTGATCTGCTCGTCCTGAGCCACGAGTAAACAACCAGCCGCCAAGTCATTATGGACCTCAGCCGCAAGAGCCATGGCGTAGTGGACCTTCACCTGCGCGTGAGCCACTACTAACTGACCGCTTTCGTCGAGACGATTGCCAGCGTCGGAACTTCTCGCCAAGTCGTCGTGGAAACTCGCCTCGTTACTGCGAAACTCGTGGGAATGATGGTACCGGTAGAATTCGGCAGGTGAATGCGATTGGTCGAAACCAAGGAAAGCAGTCTGATGACTCAGATTGGGTGGAGTGGATTTTGGATTCTGGCTCTCAGGCGAATGTCAGTGGATACTTGTCTCTATTTACTACCATTCGAGAAGATCGCATCAGTCGGCTTGACTTTGCCAACGGAACATCTCAACATGCAACTATGTGTGGTTCTGTTTTGCTACGCATTGTAAGCCAGATAACAGGGGAACAAGAAGATCACCTCCTCGAGGACGTGGTCTACACTCCTAATGCAAAGGCGAACATTATTAGCCTCGGTCACTTGCAGACGGCTAGAAAGTACAAATTGCTGTGTTCGGATGATCAGCAGTCAGCTTGGCTTTCAAAGCCAGGTACTTCGCTGAAGTTTACCATGCGAGACAATGTCTACCGATTGAAGGCAGAGCGAGTGCCAGGGGTGAGGCTGATGCAGCAAGCAAACAAGACATGGACAGCAGAAAGACGATGGAGTTACTGCACCAACGGTTCGCTCACATGAGCATGGATACTGTGAGAGAGCGGTCAAGTAAGCTCGATGTCGGAGTAAAGATTAATGCACAAGGTCTGAGCTCCTACGAGTGAATTGCGTGTACTGCTAGCAAGACTAAGCGGATGACCTGTGCGAAGACTCCTGAACGGAAGTCTGAACCGCTAGAGATGTTGATGATGGACATATGCACGATTAATGAACCGACGGAAGGTGGTGCAACTATGTTCCCGCTTATCATTGACGAAGCTAATCGCTTCAAGTGAGCGTACCTGCTCGACCAAATAAGTGCGGCTACACTGTACGTCAAGATTTGGCTACATCAACATCGGTCTCAGTTTCCCAAGCTCACTGTTCGGAGACTGCACTCTGATCAGGGTGGTGAGCTCACCAGTAATGCGCTGAGGGATTACTGTAATGAGCACGGAATTGTGCAGCAGTTTACGAATGCTTATTCTCCTCAGGAAAATGGTGTGGAGGAGCGAGTGAATGGCACGGTGCTGCCTCGCATCCGTGCTGTGCTAACCGCTTCACATATTCCTAACATGCTATGGGGAGAAGCACTTCTACACATTGTAAGGACGCTGAATTGGCTACCAACTAAACTGCTAGGACTGGTCTCGCCATACAAGAAGCTGTACAGTGTGACACCTGATGTGGATGAGCTTCGGACTTGGGGATGTGTGGCACGCGTGCGTGTCCCTCCTGA